ATATTAACACAAAAGATTAAAATGGTACCTCATAGTATATTATATAGACCAACATCTTTCGGGTAATGTAGAATTTTACAAATTACAACAGTTTCAAAAGGGGATTTTAGACATGTAGTGTTACTATAAAAACATTCTCGAGTAGACAGAAGGTCACTGCAGTCCAATAAAAATCACATCCTATGCACCGAGGATTATCTTCGCTTTTCAACATATATGAATGTTTATTGTATGCAATATATTTGTGTAAGGCTTCGTTTGATAGTGCCGGACTGTAGCTGACATAACCACACAGGTTGAAACATTGAACTAAAGCCAACACTGAGGGTGACAAGGGAGTTGTTTGGAAGAAGACACATATTGATAAAGAGTTTAAGAGAAAAGTTTAGTTGTCTCTTACAATCATGCAGCAGGTACAATTTTCGGAAAAATCAAGTCATTTGAATATTGCCCGTTTTATTATTATTCATACTAGCAACTACACCAAAGTTTATATCTTTACTAAACTAGAGAATGTTTGTTGAGAGGCAAAAGGCGATACCATCACTTTTGATTTTAGGAAAAGGTTATGTTCTGGTCATTATGTTATCAAATTAATTTAACTAATTGAATTAACATGTATCGAAGGGTTGAAGTAACAGTGATGGAAATTTTGTTGAAAAAAGCAGGGAAAGAGGGTCATGATTTGTCCAATTTCAGTTTATCTAAAACAATGGGTCAGAATTCATGAGAAGATGCTTATTCATGAGATGTGAACTTTGTGTAGACAGCCGTTTTGACGCCATACTAAATGAGCAGGGCTTACGGCTTTAGGACTGACGAGGACGGACTATCTAAAACATTATACTCGAAACACTGACTACCCCTGTCGCTGATCAGGCAGACCGAATTTCTGTCCAGGGATGAGAAGAAACTAAGGGAGGAAGAAGCGAAAGAGAGACGGAGGGAGGCGTTAGATATCCTCAATTTTTGCTGGAGTTGGAGGAATCTCGGTTGTCGAGAAAAGTTCATGTCTCGTGCTTAAACAAAAACGTACAGAGTATATGAGATTGAAAAAAACAGACTGTATGCTTACTGCAGACATAGCTTGAGGACGATGCTGTCTTCGGTATTCCATTTTTGTATCACCTGGAATTTGAAAATCGATCCAAAAAACGGGGCAGTATTAATATAAGAGGTAATTGTGAGGGAATAAACAGTCGCACATGTAAATAATTTAAAGCGACTACTATCCCCTCATAGCCAGATACAAGTGTTTACCTATTGCAAATAATGTGTACAATTTCAAATGGAGATTTAGAACGCCAGTTTAGGGGAGGTAAATCGTACTTCCCTCTTATATAATGATAAAGCTAACTGTACGTTCCTGAAAAGAAGGAAACAATTACAAATCCTCTAAATCGCAACTTCAGCTGCTCAAACGTTAAACAATATAGATCGTGTAACAAACACAAATCTACAATAGTATCGACGTTTAAAAGAGCTCTATGAAAAACAATCGTGTAGAATTATCTAAGTGACTACAAGCACAGCCACTAAAATATGTAAGATGTCATAAAAACCGGTAGTAACACAAAGCAAATCTCAGCATTAGTTGATAACATTGGAACAAAATAAATACGTGTCAGATTATCAAGAAAATTATTAAATATATTTGCAGCTCACCTGAAACAATATTACTGTACCTATACATAAGATAAAAAGGCAAGGTTCTTTAACACTTGATTATTAACTATTGGGAAACAATAGTCGATAATATATTGAAAAGGTACTTGGAAACTAAAAATTAATTAACAATCAGTGCATCAAATCTGGTGTAGGATTTACCAAATAAATTGCAAAAGGTCTGAAAGGAAGACATTCTGTCGGAGTTTCTCAGGACATTGGAACACTGGGTGATTCTTATAGTTAAGACATTATCCATAGAAGTCTTCAGGACGGCGAAGCCTAAAAATTAATATCAAGTACTTTCCATTGGTGACGGAAACCGTCCGTAAACATGACAAGATATCATGTCGGAAAGCAAATTAAATCAAATTAGTTTATTATATCAGGATTGTTTCTGAATTGAACTCGAGTGCATCGCAAAAGAGTGAACGAAACAGCATGAGAAATGAATTCCATTCTTCCAACGTTTGTTTTATTAATGCAAGTTCGATTCAGTCGATGATCAGCACCCAGATTGGACACAAATTATCTACGTTCTCCTTCCCCATGCTCCGAAAAAAAAATGGTAAAATTAGACTGTAATTAAAAATTTGTTGCCAAGATTTCATCAAATTGTGAACATTTCTAAATATCATTTCTTCGCCGTGTAGAAAAAAAATCCAGAATTGTTCCGGAAAAAGAAATTTAAAAGTAAAAACAAAGTCACATTTTTCAAGATCTAGGTAAACAAGTTCAGGATTTTTTCCTAATTGGGACAATTTCGCACGAGCATTCGGCGTCATCAGATATATCTACACGGAAAAAGTCATATTTTTCATTACTACCTTGAAGAAATAACTTTATGTGCACAACATTTAATTCCCTGTCATCAAATGCAGCTGTTTGGGAGTTATAAAAAGATTTAAAGTTTGTAAAGGCAATGGAGTACAAGATGTAATGTTTAGTGCATTCCGTAATCGCAGAGTAGATGAAGAAAATAGGAGCTGGTTTGAGATAGACTGTATACCGGAAGTACAAAGTCATGTCCGTTTCTCACTGAATATAGAAGAGTTTGACCTACTGTGATCTTACAAAGGAAAGTCACGAGTTAAATGACGTTTCATCTTGTTCAATAACAGTAATTTCAATCCCTCCTTACCGAAAGATAATTGTTACTTGCTTAAAAAGGGTAAATCTACTATAATTAAACAAATAAATTTTGGTCCTCCACGTTACCCGTCCCATAATTCATTAGGATATTCTAACGCTGGTTAAACAATTCTATTTTAATAATGTATCACGTTAGATCATATAGTTTGAATCTCTTTAAGCATTGCATAACTGATCAATGAATGTTTTTTACGTGGTCACCCCATTTACTTTAACATTAAAGCTAACGCCAAGTGCTTATGAAAATCATTGAAATTTACAAATATATTACCAAATTTCAATTCCAGATCATCATTAAAATCGACTGAATTTGTTATAAAAAGAATGTAGCTTTTGCAAGGTAAAAATTAACAAGTATTATTTCTTAGAGACTAAGTCCTGATTGCTTGTGGTTTGTGAGGCATAAAAAGAAGGCGTACTGAGGTGTTATTCGCAAAAGGATGGAAAGCCGAGTGTAAGATATCTGCAATATCATTAATTATAGGGGCCCAGGATATAACCCTGTATTACTCCCGCTTTAGTAAACACATAGTCAGCAAAATACGGAAAGATAATTTTCCTACCAAGCCAAAAAGTCTCCGGATAAGCTAGCTCTTAAGTTAATTGATATTCCATGATGCCAAATACGATTTAAAGTTTTAATGTATCGCAGAACACTAAACATGTTTTTCTCTTCAAGAGCCAAACAAATATGATAAATATAGATGTACTGATAAACAATTGAGTGACCTGGCATAAATCCTGAATGGAAAGAGTCGATAGTTTTGTCAGTCTTCTTTTCCTACATAGGTAGATCGGTATCGCTTATTGCTGTCATCGACTTATAGTACAAAACTCTGTATTCAAAATATTAACCTTATTGCTATCCTCTGAAACTGTATCACCTACAATTGAAAGGAAATCACCTGTTCATTTCATAAATCTTCCCCAATATTGTTTTTGGTCCTATCAATTACACCATGGAAAGTTTCATAACAAATTTGCCGTTAATGTTGTTATAATGGTGAAGTGTGAAAATTCTTACTTTTCTGTGCAACCTGTCACGAATTATTTTGTCTTAATTCAAAAGTGATCCATTGTTAATCTTTGTGTCCAATGATAAATTCATTTGTAGGAATACAAAGATGGGATATCTACATGTAATGATTCGCATCGAGCTATACAAGTTTTTCTCAAATCAATGGGATGGAGAAATAAACTCATTACACCTATTAAAATGAACAGGTTTATATATGAGGAATAATAAAAGGGATGTGGACGGAAGCAATGCAAATGTTACCAGAAAGGATTTACATTAATTTTTCGTTTGCATACAGTAAATATCAGGAGCGGAATGTTGTAATTCAATGTTCGTACAAAGTAAATCACTTCCCAGAAACTTAAGCTCAAGGAAACATGTTGTCTGTAGTGGGGTTTTTTTTACGAAAATACAAGAAATCCATCACCAGCGAAGGCACTGTCTAAACGAAATGGTGTGTGTAATCCTTCTTAATGAGTACATGCTTGTTTAAATGGGTTGCAGGAAGAGAAATAATGTTGTACTATCCAGCTCTATCTCATAAAACATATATTTACGTCTAACGCTTATTAAATTTACTTTAAATATTGATAATTCATTTCGACTGGGGTTAGTTTTAATATCCATGTAAGAAAGCAATCACAGAGCGGGAACTGAACTTGTTCCGTCTAACCCTAAACACAACAAGCACCTGGTGCTAGGTTTGTAGAGGTTTATTGACAGATAGTAAAACATAAAATAAACACTTACGACGTGTGGGGCTTTATGATAGCTCACTCGACTTGACATCTTTGATTAACTGATGCTGAAAAGGCTGCTCTCATGACCATGCCGTTTCTCTCAGACGGAAAATAAGAGAAGACACACAAGGGCAGTAACTCTAAATTACTCTTGCTGATTACTAGCGATCAGCGGCTAAGGGGAGAGAACTCCTGGTTCCATCACACTCCCCGCCTGATATGAATAATATCACTAATTATAGATACACATTTAACACAAAGGTTCGAATAACATAACGAATTAGAATGATTGTCCAATAAATGCAAATTGAGAAAACAATAGTTATTGACTAGTATGTTCAATTGGATGTTCGTAGAACAGGTAACGTTCATCCCGCATGTATAAAACACCAGGTGTATATATATATATAAACACAGTTTGTCTATTACACTGACTCTTTATCCTTTGAAAGGAGAATCACGATCTGAGTGACCGGACGGACTAAAGTTGACTTCTTTCCCCCTCGACATATTTGAATTTCGACCTTTCGAACAAGTCCATCCTCACTAGGAAAGGTACGAGTGATGATGCCAAGAGGCCAATCATTGCGTGCGACTTGTTCATCCTTCATAAGGACAACATCTCCTTCCTCCACGTTTGGAGATTCGTGATTCCATTTCCTCCTAGTCTGTAACAATGGTAGAAATTCCTTACGCCATCGATTCCAGAAATTCTCCGCTAGCACCTGTACGTGTTTCCACTGTGATCTAAACATATCCTTATGACCCAAGTATCCAAACGACTCTACTTGACTCCCAGTTTTCTGTGTCAAAATAGTTGCTGGAGAAAGGATAAATGGGTTATCGGTGTCTGTCGAAACAGGAACCAATGGTCGTGCATTGATGATTGCAGTTACTTCTGCCATGAACGTGGATAACACTTCGTGCGAAAGTTTATGGTTGCTGCCTAGCAACATTGAGTCTAGTATGCGTCTTGCGATACCGATCATGCGCTCCCAGGATCCTCCAAAATTTGACGCATGCGGTGGGTTAAATTTCCAGATTGTACCGGACTCCCGAAGGAATTCCTTGACTTGCCGGTCTTCAATGAAGATCGCTGTAGCTCCCAGGTCTGAAGTAGCACCAATAAAGTTAGTACCTCTGTCGGAGCGAAACTCGGCGACTTTCCCTCTGATAGCGTAAAATCTCCTGACAGCATTTATGAATGATGCAGAGCTCATTTCTTCAAGCAACTCGATATGGACAGCCCGAGAAGACAAACACGTGAAAAGCGCTGCCCAGCGTTTGCTAGCTGCCGAACCACCCCTGGTCCTGCGGGTTACAACATTCCAAGGCCCGAATACGTCAACGCCGACGTATGTGAATGGCGGGCTAGGTGTCACTCGCTCAGTTGGAAGATCCGCCATTTTCTGTTCAGCACACTTCCCGCGGAGTCTACGGCACTTCATGCAATGATGAATCACGAAGGACACTAGTCTTTTCCCTCCAGTGATCCAAAATCCTGCAGATCTTATAGCGCCTTCTGTCAGATGTCTCCCTTGGTGTTGGACAGAGTAATGGAAGTGACGAGTTAACAGTGTAGCGACGTGATGTCGTCCAGGTATCAAGATAGGGTTCTTTTCACCTCTAGGTAACTCCGACTTTTTAAGTCTTCCTCCAGCACGTATTATGCCATTCTCATCCAGGTAGGGAGATAGTTCCTTTGGACATTTCCTGATGTCCCCATAGAATCCCCTTTGAAGCTCTCTGACGATAAACACTTCTGCTGCTGCACGACTTTCGACCGAACGGTAAGTGTCACATTTGTGCCATCCTGCACAATTGTGGTGTTTTGACTTAAATGACGTAGCTATGTGTTTAATGAGAGATATGGCCAACAGCAGGTTGGTCCAGCTAGAACATTTCTCAAACCGTTCTAGCCAAGACCTGGGAGGTTTGTCGACGTCCTCTATGTCCGTTTTGATGACCTTGACGACTTCTTGTCGAACTTCTACATCTTCGTCTGGTGCAACCAAAGGGAAGAGTGAGGATGATGTAGATGATGGCTCAATCTCTGGAGAGTCTGGTTTAGGAGGTCCTTGAATCCACATGCTCCTTTCCAAAAGGGCTGGAGCTATATACCGAGTACCGATATCAGCGGGATTGCTCTCCGTAGAAACATAGAACCACTGATCTGGTTTTGAAAATTCCAGTATCCTGCACACCCTGTTCGCTACATAGATGTAAAATCGGCGAGTCCTGTTTGTGACGTAGCCGAGTACGACCTTACTGTCTGTATGGAAGAATATGCGTTCCCTGGGAAAAGATAATTCTTGTGTAATAACTTCAGCTATTTCCACCGCTAGTACCGCGGCACACAGTTCTAAACGGGGAATGGTGTGTCCGTGACGCGGTGCAATTTTCGACTTCCCTTAAACGAAGCTAAAGCGTGGTTGCCCATCCTCATCTAGAGATTTGAGGTATGCGACCGCAGAAATTGCCCTCTCTGACGCGTCGGAATAAACATGCAGCTCACTTACGGAGTTGATATGTGACGGATATCTGCGAGGTATTTGGAAAGTCTCTAAGTCCTGGACTGAAGTGTCCCACTGTTTCCATGAATCCTTGAATTCCTCTGGCAATGGTTGATCCCAATCAATAGTACCAGATACCATGTCTCGAAGGAGGATTTTTCCTTGTACAGTTACGGGAGAGAGGAATCCAAGGGGGTCGTACAGACGGTTTATTGTGGATAAGACACCGCGGCGTGTATATGGTTTGGACTCCTTGGATATAGCGAATGTGAAGACGTCGGTTTCCAACTCCCAACACAGACCAAGGCTCCGTTGTGAAGGAAGGGCATCGGTGCCAATCTCTATCTTCTTCAGATCATTGGCCAGATCCTCTGGCGGCAGGGCGTTAAGAACATCCTCGCAGTTAGACGTGAATTTGTGGAGTCTGATATGGCTGGTGTTCAAGGCCTTCTTTGTCTGGTCAAGTAAGCTGATCGCCTCTTGAGCAGTAGGGAGTGATGTAAGCCCATCGTCGACGTAAAAGTTTCCTTGTATGAACTCGAGAACGTTACTGCCAAACTCCCTTTCCCCTTCTTTGGCTGTCCTAAGAAGACCATAAGAGGCCACGGCTGGTGAAGGACTATTACCAAACACGTGCTTAAGCATTCTATACTCCACCAGCTGCTTCCCAGGGTCATTGTCCTCATACCATATGAATCTCAAGAAATTGCGGTGGTCTTCCCTCACGCCAAAACAGTAAAACATCTGCTCTACGTCACAGCTCACAGCTACTGCTTCCTTTCTAAATCTTAAGAGGACGCCAAGGAGATTGTTCGTCAAATCCGGACCCTTCATCAGAACTTGGTTCAATGAGATACCTTCGTACATGGCTGACGAGTCGAAAACTCCCCGAATCTTATCCGGCTTCTTGGGATGATAGATGCCGAAAGGTGGCAAATACCAACACTCCTCATCATCAGAAAGTGGGGGAGCCAATTCTGCATGCCCATTGTCAATGATTCCTTTCATGAAGGAAGTGAAGTGGTCTCGTTTGACAGGATTCCTCTGAAGAGAAGCATCGAGGATCTGAGCTCTTTTTAAGGCTTGGTACCTGTTATTAGGTAGTCTAGGACGAGGTTCCCGAAAAGGCAGTGGAGCAATCCATTTACCTTGAGAATCCTTTGTAAACTCTTTGTCCATGAGTTCAAGAAATGCTCGGTCTTCTAAAGACAAGCCGACTTTGTTGTCATTCTGGGTTTGTTGAAACACGTCCCGTCCGATGTTTGATTCCTCATAAACGCCTTTCACTTTGAATTGATTTTCACATGGTGGAAACAGTGTGGGACGTCCGTCCTCAAGTATCCTTGTTTTAAGAACAGAGACATCTGATGAGTCTGGAGGATGTGTAGTTCCAAGACAGACGTTACCTACAATGACCCAGCCTAAACGTAATCTCTGGGCGAATGGAGAGTTAGATGGACCAATAATCTGTTCGCACACGTAGTGGGCCTCTGGCACGTCGCGACCAATCAACAAGAGAATTTGAGATCCAGGGTCTAGTGGTGGAAGGTCGACATCCTTCAGGTGACTATGGTAAGTTGTAATCTCTGGGGTGGGTATCTCTAAACGATTGTTGGGAATCTGATCACACTCGAGTATCCCAGGTAATAACAAGCTAAATTCGCCGTCCAGAGAAGAGACTGAGAATCCGTGTGCACATCTACCTTGAGTAGGGAGGTCACCTGCGCAAGAAACAAATGTGTACCGCTCCGTTGTCTCTCCTGAGACATTCATAACATCGAAGAACGCAGGTCGACATAACGTGCGGTTGCTCTGGTCGTCAAGAATGGCGTACATATTGATCGCCAGCTCTGGCTTTCCAGTCGGGTGGACCTTTACCAGTATAGTTTTTGAGCACGACCTTCCAGAAAACTTCTTTCCTCCACACACGCGGGTACATTTATTCACGACTCCCACCTCCACAGATTTCTCCCCGCCGTTCTGGCTTGGGGTTTTGTCGTTGTGCCTACTCGGCTTGTTCTGCTCCTTACGATTTATAGGTTCACCACGATCTCTAGGGTGAAGCGCGGTTGCATGTTGATCGCTCCCACACTCTGAGCACTTGATGGAAACTGTACAGTTTTTGAACATATGTGTATCAGTATCGCAACATCGATAGCACATGCGGTGTTCACCTAGGATCCGCCTCCGTTCAGATAGCGACTTAAGTCTAAATGACCTGCATTGGTTGACATTATGGTTTGACGTGTTATGTATAGGACACTGTTTCTCGCCTAATTTGGAATCGTTGCCTAACACCTGTGTCTTGGCCACGCGAACGTTCGACCGGATCCGGTCTTTCTGGCGCGGATCACCTCTCGCATACCCGGTTGGCACTTCCTTACACACTAGGCCAGGATCATTAAACATATAACTCATTTCCTTTAAGAAGGCGACGAATTCGGAGAATGGCGGAAAGGCCACATCCTTGGTCTTTTTGTATTTGGCAGCCCGGACCGTCCATTTCCCTTGGATGTGATAAGGTAACTTTGCGACAATAGGAAGAACTCCGGAAGAGGTATTGAAATAACTAAGTAGTGCCGCGTACATGGGATCTCCCATAAGGGATTCAATCTCGGACAGAGTGTCAGACAATTCATATAGCTTGGCATTGTCCCTGTTGCCTAACTTGGGGAATTTTTCTAGTTTCACTTTAAGTGATGATTCTACCATTTCGGGGCATCCATATCTCTCACTGAGACGTTCCCACAGTCTTTCCAGACCCCTGGATGGGTTAAATGTATTTGATGCTCTCAGACTTTGTGCGTGCTTCTTGGACTCTGGGCCCAGCCATTTAATTAACAGGTCAAACTCCTCATTTGGCGTAACACTCAGTTCTTTAGTTACAGACTGAAAACTAGCCTTCCACATAATGAAGGTCTCGGGTTTGTCGTCAAATGTTGTAAGTCTTTGGAGGAGAAGGTCCTTCCTCAACAAATACTTGGTGAAGTCTGAGTAACACGACTTCTCTGGATAGAAACTCGGTGAGTTAGGATTCAATTGTCCTTTGGCTGGTTCAGCGTCAGGGATGACCTCCAAATATGGGTTGGGAGGTACAGCCGCCTCAATGTCGTCCTTACTAGCAACCCGGTTACTAGGCGTTCCAATCCGACTATGTTCTATTACATATTGTTCGGTTCGCTCCCCTGCATCCATTTCTGGTAGTATAGGTAGAGGGAGTTGTGACCCTCTCTCTGACTTGCATACGTCCAACTCCTCATACATAGCGTCCAATTCTGCTTGAGCGACCGCAGCTTCCTGTTGCGACTTCAAAAACTGCAGGTCTGACTCGTAGCCAGCCCTCTGTCTAAGAACTTCAGCCTCCATCCGTGCTTGCTGTTTTTGTATCTCCATCTCGCGGTGCATGAAGGTTAGGCGTGTCTTGGCTGCTTCCAGCTTGGCACGCTGGCGTGCCAGTAGGGAGCTGTTGTGGCTGCTGACTGAGTTGCTCCTGGATCCACTCGGAGTGTGACTGTGTATTGAAGGCGACTTTGATTTCACCTGTGACTTAGTTTCCTCCCCTGTCTGGGAGGTTGCTTTCTCCTGAACTCTTGCCATCTCCTCATAGACTCTTGTCACCCTTTCGTAAACCTGGGCGTGTATCGATTCTTGGGATGCTTTCTCCCGTTTACTGGTCTCTGTGTTAAGACGCGTCAAATATCGCACGAAGGTCTTTATCTCCTCAAGGTAGGCATCATATGTCTCTCGTAGACGCTCCCTGTTTGCTGCGACCAAATCCTTTTGGTCCATTTTAGACGCGAAGTCGGCGATGATGTTGTTAATCCTTCTCCGGAAGTCGATGAGCTTGGAGGCACTCTTCTGTACCGTGGCCTCATACAGTGCCTCTCCTCCATCTGTTAGAGTTTTTTCTCGATGAGGTCTGTCTGAGGAGGAAAATTCTAGGTCTGAGAAAGGCTGTAGCAAGGCTTTATCTTCATTAGGAGGCATCTCATGCCCTTGTTGCTCTTGCAACTTGGTAGGATCCTGATCCTTTGAGGTAGCCATCATGTATCGCTGGCACACGTCGTTTTACTGCTCCGTCTAACCCTAAACACAACAAGCACCTGGTGCTAGGTTTGTAGAGGTTTATTGACAGATAGTATATACATGTAGTAAAACATAAAATAAACACTTACGACGTGTGGGGCTTTATGATAGCTCACTCGACTTGACATCTTTGATTAACTGATGCTGAAAAGGCTGCTCTCATGACCATGCCGTTTCTCTCAGACGGAAAATAAGAGAAGACACACAAGGGCAGTAACTCTAAATTACTCTTGCTGATTACTAGCGATCAGCGGCTAAGGGGAGAGAACTCCTGGTTCCATCACAGAACTAAATATTATATTGAGAAAAGATGCGTCGATAGAGATTTCATTTGAGTTTAGGAAGTGCAGTTGTCCCGTTCTACAATAGTGTGTACTTAATACATATGCATAAAAAAGGTGGAAAGTTTGCTGTCATTGTGGTAATGCCAAAAACTTATATTTAAACTGCAACAAGCTGCTGGTTTGAAGGCCTAAAATTAGAAAATGATA